AAAAGTGATTATGTTTTCCCTGTAATATGAATTGGAGATATCTGACAAAATATGGATAGCCTAAAATATAAATTTTGTGTTTTTGAACATGCGGAAATATCTAGAACACTTTGAAACTGAAGCACAGTTCCTTAATAGGTCGTACAGTTTTCTTGCTTTTGTTCTTCACAACACTTGTGTTTAATAGGCACGCGTAATTATTAATAAGCGTAATCAGATTATTTCAAGCGTCGAAATAGCTTATTTTCCTCGACGTATCTACACAAACCTATTCACTTACCGTTATATTGAGCGATCTAGATGCGTCAATTATATTTGTTTTCACTCATCGGCTTTAGTGACCCGCGATACCTTTTATTTCATTCATTTGAGACGCAATTGATATATTGGCAACAAATCAAATGTTCTCAATGATTCTTCTTCATTTTGGAATGTTTCTCCTACCCGATATTCAAAGATTTGTCTTAAATATTATACTTATCATTGATCACGATTCTTGTATTTTCTGTCTTTAAGAATCAAGTTTACATTTGCAAGAGTTGTTGATTGCATTGCCTTGATCGCTGGTCGAACTTCGATTCCAACTAAATCAGATTAATCAATTAAGAAATGTAATATCATGTTTATCCAAGCAAATAATTGTAACAACTACATTATTTTTTAGCAGTTTTGACACCTAAGTAGAGTAGCCTAGTGGCGTAGACTGAGGCTACTTTGCGGTTGAACGTCGTGGGATACGGAGGTCCCGCGTTCGAGCCCCAGGTACGGAGTTGTTGATCATTGTCACTACGGACACCCGGTCCGAAGGTCCAACCGTTTACCGGCCCTTGGCATGGGTTGGTTCTCTGGCCGCTCTTGCCGGAGACAGATTGTGAGACTGTGGTTGGTTCCTCCACTACCGTGCTTTAGGAAACTCCGGGAGTCATATAGTATGGTAGCGGGCCCCCACCAAGGGCAGTAGTGGAACGACGCGAATCGGTCCCAGTATGGTTGCCTTGCAACTGAAGCGACTCGAGGAAATCATGCCATTCGCAGTGACCCAGAAAAGACTTTTGCTTTTTAATTTGACGTTTTATTTAATTTATTTACATACTTTCTTCATATTGCTTTCCAGGCAGTTATGATTTTTATTGGTCAAATGAATGAACGAGACATCTAAATACTATCAAAACCATAATTCGCTTTGTCGGACATATATAAAATAACACTTGAAAACACAACACACATAGCTGCAATATCCGTAGGATTTGGCACAGTCGGTTCCGACGCTCTATCATTTTGTGCGGTCATCTTAAGATAAGTAGGTACGGTTGATTAGACCACGGGCTTTCAACAGAGTCAAGAAATTGGCATGGATACTTTGAGAAATGAGGTAGCAACAAAAGGAAACACCGGAAATAATCCAAAAATGTCCACACCATTGTTTTCGTTAGTTATGGCAAGGTCCCGGAGGAAAAACAGCATTCGTGGGTAGCTTATTTTTTGTACCAATTAGAGCCATGACTTAAACTCAACCAAGAACGGTGGGACAAAATCCCTATGGGTCCCAATTGAGAATCAATTCAAATCAAAATCAAATTGAAAATTGATTTTCCCCTAAATAGACATTAAACGGACACTGAATATTGGACTTAGTAAATGAGCACCATTTTAAACTGCCAATTAAAACATGTATTCAATGTTTAAAAATTATGAAACTGAAATATTGGGCAAAATAATTGATATTTCGTTTGTGGAATGAAAACTGATGATAGAGATTATATCAGTTGTCAAAAAACGGTATATTAAGCAATTTAAACATGGTAATGATGCCAATGTAGAAGTATTATATGAAAAGAAGTGTTTGTGAAATGATTAGCAAATGATAAAAATCACACTTGGATTTGGAAAGATTTAAAGTAAAACAAATGAATGCGTTTCTTACTATCTCCATGACAACATATCTTGCTCTCTCTCCATGACAACAATTTTTAGCCCCATCAGCACAAGATCGAAAACATTAAGAAATGTGAACCTTAATATTTAATAGCGCAATTATGTATTTCTATCAATGAAACAATACAGTATAAATAAATGTTTACTTCATTGAATATAGAATTTACCACAGTTAAATATGTTTTATGAAGTACAGGGATTACCATAATCAAACATAAATAATAGAATTATGACTTTATCCTCTATGAAATACAGAAATTGATGGTTAACTGGAATCAAGTTTGTTGAGACGACCCTCAATCCGAAACGCCTAGCATCAGTTCTGGCCGCAACTGAGATGTAAAGATGTTTAAAGATTTTAAATTAAGCTTTATCTGAAAATATGTCTTTGTGCGATATGAATATATAAAAACAGATTAATATCCAGTCTCATATTAAAAAGTTTAAAATTAAAATATTGTGGAAGTAAATTCATGTACCCCGAATTACTACTGTATACTAACTTAACAAATAAAAGTATTTCATACCTAATACTGATACCAAAATATGATTAACATAAATACGCTGAATACAGATGCTGTGATTAAAGTAAATTGCTTATAATTAAAAATCTTGGAACTATATTCTGCACTATTTGCAGTTTAATATCAATACGCCATCACTGAAAAGTATGTATCTGGAGATTGACATTCTTCTTAGAGAGTGGAAATCAGCTAGCTGAATGCATATTAAGAATTAAAGTTAAAATCTAATTAAATTAGAGATAAATACAGTAACAGCACACCAAATAATAAGAGAAATTATGTTATTAAGTATATATGAATTTGGTGGGTTGTTACACAAGTACGTAGTACGTACATGTATGTTACAGGGTATGTATCCAGTTGAAAGCCCATGATTAAAATAAATGGTATATTATTCTACGTCTCATATAATACGAGGTTTGATCATAAAGTTCTCATAATATATCTCCAATTTATTTATTTTTCAATGTTTTCGTCTGAAATTTTCACAGAATGTGCAGGGAGGAAATGAGAGAGATGTTATGAGAACTTAAAGATCAAACCTCGTATGTATTATACATTAATATAATGTTGAACTAAATATTAACATTACATGTATTGTCTCTAAAACATAGTCACTTTGAGCATACACTTGAGTGAATTCGTGAATGCAACTACCGACTACCGGATTAACCTATCAATTAATCCGTCACTTTGAATTTAAATAACGAACAACCCGTTTGTCGACGAACAGTGATCACGTTCCTTTTATGCATATTACTTAACACTATTCCATTCATATTTAAATGAGTTAGTCACTATCAAAAAGTAGGTTAATCCCATAGACGACAGCCGGAAGTTGCATTCGCGAATACAAGCTTGGTGTGCTATTTTTCGGCTTAATATTTTCACAAAAAAGGTTTATATAGTATTCAATTGACTGTTATGCCTTGGACATATTTGCTCAGATTTTCACTACGGCGCCCGATTGAGTATTTACAGGGTGACCCCAAAAAATGCAACCCTCCATTTCTTCAATATTTTTCTCAAATGGAATTGAATTGCTCTGAGATTTAGCACACAAGGACTTTATTCAATGTGGGATCCCCCGGCAAAATTTTAATAATCATAGTCTTATATTTATAGAGTTATGGTTGTTTCAAAATATGCTCCAGATGTCGTCAATTTCGCTGAAAACAAACTTGCAATGTTCAACGAAAACTGTTCATAACACGGATGCATTTTCCCCATGGGTATGGCTCAAATTTTTGCAGCCATTGCTTGTTGGGAGTTCTGCAATTGCGATACGGTTATTTTCATACACATTATCCTCTAAATAACCCCATATATAGAAGTCAAGGGCATTGAGATCAAGACTGTGGGATGACCATGGGTTCTCCGTCCTAGGAGAGATAATCTTCTCATAGAAATGACTAGTGAGCCAGGCTATGCTATCATTAGAAGTGTGAGGAGTAGCTCCATCCTTCTAGAACCACTGTTCTTGTCTATTGAAGCCTCTATGTCACTCTAGAACTGGCTAGAACTTCCTGGGAACGCCAATATTGCGCTGTGTGTTAACAGTTACACTCTTAAAAATTATTACTTGGATTTCCTTATATTGAGAAATTGTACTACTCATTTTAAGTCAAAAATTACTTAAATAATCTTGAACTACTGAATAATTTTTAAGTAATTTTTAAGTAATTCATTTATGGTGAATTCACTAATGCAAGGAGAGAAATTGAAATACTTACTGTAGTAATTGTAATACTCATTTACATAATTAAGCAATTAAAAAACTCAAAATGACAATATAAGTTAGACCTAAGTAAAATGAAGTAAAACTAAGTATTTAACTTTAAGTAATTTTTATACTTGGGAAATACTTGGGAAATACTCAAGTAATTCATTTTTAAGAGTGTACAGTGTTGCCATATCAACCTCAAACCAAAAGGGGCTGATGATTTCATGTTTGGAAATTGGCAGCCCAAGCTGTGCATTTAACAGAATGAAGGGGCCTTTAAAGCACTTCATCTGGAATTTTTGATCCCAGAACACATTATTTCTTGAGTTTACATGTTCAGAAAGAAGGGAATGCGATTCATCCGAAAACCTAACATTGGAAATGGATGATATTTGGAGCATATTTTGGAACGACCATAACTCTATCAATATAAAACTATGATTATTGAAACTTTGCCAGAGGATCTCACATTGAATGAAGTTCTTGTGCGCCAAATTTCAGAGCAGTTAATCTTCATTTAAGAAAAATATTGAAGAAATGGAGGGTTGCATTTTTTTGGGTCACCCTGTAATTCAAAATTGAATGAAATATTGAAACACTGGCCTGGCGCCGGCCGATGGATCGGAGCAAATGTGACCAAGGCATCAGTGAAGTGTTTCCTCAATTTTTTGATCCTTTTGTGTTTTTTGTTTCCTTTTTTGGTTCCCTTGTACAGGACTCAAAACCTTTGATTTACCATCATGTGTCGAAATATTGAGTTTTGGAGTATCCAGTTTAGTAGTACTAGTACTGGGTACCGGTTTTTGAGAATTGCCTTTTTAAATATTGAGTTTTGGAGTACTAATATTAAGTTTTGGAGTATTCAGTTTAGCAGCACGAGGATGGGGTTTTTGAGGATTGAGTTTTTGAGAATTGCGTTTTTGAGTATTGAGTTTTGCAGTACTACTATTGAGTTTTGGGGTATTCAGTTTAGCAGCACTAGTATGGTTTTTTTGCGGACTGAGTTTGAGTTTTTGAGTATTGAGTTTTGCAGTACTACTATTGAGTGTTGGAGTATTCTTCAGTTTAACAGCACTAGTATTGGGTTTTTGAGGACTGAGTTTTTGAGTATTGAGTTTTGCAGTACTACTATTGAATGTTGGAGTATTCTTCAGTTTAACATTTTGCGTTTTGCGTTTTGGAGTATTGAGTTTTGAAGAACTAGTATATCGCTTTGGAGAATTGAGTTCTGGAGTATTGCGTTTTGGAGTAATTGGTGGATCCTTGTCTAAATATACCTCCCACAAAAGTTTTTGTATATTAATAGGATACGATACATTGTAATAATGGACGAGTGTGGTTTTCGTATGTATAACAACAGCTACATTTTTCGGATCTTGTCCCAAACGGACTTCCTCTTTGTCATAGAACCGTAACACATACTTTTTATGTCCAGTAGCTGGCACTCCGAGTACTTCCATTAAAGCGCCAAAGTATGTATCATCGGGGAAACATATCGGTAATTTGCACAATAAGAAATGCAGATCCCGTATCACCGATTGGCTGAAGAGTATGCCACAGCCTGCGATGTACGTTGGATAACTGATTTTCCATTGCATATGTGTAGGGCTCAAAAGTTTTGATTTACCACCATGACGAATCGTGGAGTTATACACTGGATGACCATGATAAAGTCTCGTGACGTTTTGCTCGAGTATATCATTAAGATAGTTTATCACTTTAGTGAGGTTTACAAATACATCATGTGTTATTCGGAAAACATACTTTGCTCTTGGACAGTATAGTTGAATCCATTTAAAACCAAATGCATCCTTTTCTGTCATATGTTGATAACCATCGGGGACATTGCCGATTAGAAGATCTTCATCTATTTCATTGGGAAGGACTGAATTGTTTGCATCGCCATATAGAAATACGGTTCGAATCTGCCAGCTTGAAAATTTCTTTACTGAACCGAATGTGTTCCTAATTGCATCTCGCATAGGTTTAGCTGAAAGTAAAAAGTCAAGAATTGTAGCCATGTTTTAAAATACAGAATAAACTGTTAACGATGGAGAAATAAGGAAGCGAAATATGATATCAAATAGTATATTAGTTTATTTGAACGGTGGTTACATATAGTGTAAGCGAATTCGAAATAGATGAGGTGGGGAGTGCGAGGCTGGAGATACATAATTTACACAACACTGCTTGTCATGTTCATCTTCTCTGTGCGGATAATATGCCCATTAGGGTGTCATCCGCCTTATCTGTATGTTTCACCAGATGTTTGAAAATAAATAAATGAAATGAAAATGAAATGAAACCTTTTGAACATCATATGTCACATCACTTGTTTGTTACTTCGTTCTTCTTACGTAGGAGCCCAGTGTAAAAGGGTAGGTGGTTCTATCAAATTTTGGTCCTACTCTCTATTGACTTATATGGTGACCAAAGCACAATTATTTTCCTTATTATTTATACACAGTCAGTGCCAGAAAGGGCCTTGAGGAAAGGGGACCATAATCCTCAGGGGACCATAATTTCTTTTACACCGGTGTGAAAAAAATTATAGTCCCCCAGGGATTATGGTCCCCCTTTTTAAACGCCCTTACTGGCTCTGATTGTGTATAAGATAATAAGGGAAAGAGGTCACCATATAATCAATGGAGAGTAGGACCATAAATTAATAGGACCTCCTACCCTTTTACACCGGACATCATCAACTCTATTCCTTATTTAGGAACATAGTGGATGATATTTAGAGAACTGCATTTTGAGAATGATAAAGAAACAGAGTGGATGATGTCTTGAGTCCTGCATTTGGAGAATGGTAATGCAGAAACAGGGTGGATGATGTCTGGAGTCCTGCTTGGAGAATGATAAGGAAATAATAGAGTGGATGATGTCTGGAGTCCTGCATTTGGAGAATGGTAAGGAAGAAACAGAGTGGATGATGTCTCGAGTCCTGCATTTGGAGAATGATGTAGAAAAAGAGTTGATGATGTCTTGAGTCCTGCATTTGGAGAATGGCAATGGAGAAACAGAATGTATGATGTCGGGAGTCCTGCATTTGGGGAAAACAGAGTGGATGATGTCTCGAGTCCTGCATTTGGAGAATGATGTAGAAAAAGAGTGGACGATGTCTGGACTCCTGCATTTGGAGAATGGTAAGGAAGAAACAGAGTGGATGATGTCTTGAGCCCTACATTTGGAGAATGATGTAGAAAAAGAGTGGACGATGTCTGGACTCCTGAATTTGGAGAATGGTAATGCAGAAACAGGGTGGATGATGTCTGGAGTCCTGCTTGTAGAATGATAAGGAAAGAATAGAGTGGATGACGTGTCTGGAGTCCTGCATTTGGAGAATGGCAATGGAGAAACTGAATGTATGATGTCGAGAGTCCTGCATTTTGGAGAATGGTAAGGAAGAAACAGAGTGGATGATGTCTTAAGCCCTGCATTTGCGAGCTTTGGTAAAGTATTTCAACAGATCCAGAAGTATGTCCACTGCTCGTATGCTTTATTACAAAATCTGGATTAGAACGCTTCTTTGCCATCTTCATCACTTTGATTCCCATTAGTAACATTTTGACTTCCTGTCTTTTATAGATTAAACAAACATCACTTTTCTCAAGGTACAACAGTTTACTTCTGTTTTCAGCTTTCAATCCTCAGTCTAAACAAGGGCTTATTTAATACCCGGGGCTTAGTTGTGTACCAAACGTTCGGGTATTACGTTCGCCCTTGGTCTAAACATGGATTTGAAGAAATTCATGAGAATATTTTGAGAGAATTGGAATTCCAAATCAGATTAGAGAATTATATATTTTCCAAAACAGATTAGCGTGTCTTGTGAAAAGCCCAACATTTTTAATCGACGGCTATCTGAAGTAATCTTACTAATCCTAATCCTTTACCCGAAAGCCAAATGGTACATTTGCGAATACAAGCTTAGAAAATAACCATATGAAAGCTTTGTTAATTTTCTTTGGCTTATGCTAGAATTTCTCTTGATATAGTACGCATATTCAATGTAAAATAGTAAAAACTGTGTATCAATTTGCATGGTACTAGTATAGTATGTCATTAATAACGCAGATGCGTGTAGTTAGTTACTAGTTCCACCCCAGGTGGCTCGTTCGGGTCAGATAGCATGGCGGACTAGAAAGTTCCCTTTAACTTAAATTACATCTGTTTTAGTTGTTCAATTTTCATATCACCCTTATGCAAATTAAAATATGTCCACTAAAAGAAAATGTTATCTGTCTAATACAAGAAAAGATATAACTCACTTTTTGTGATTTGGTAACATGGCGTCTATGGGAAATCTCCCCGAAATAGAAGTCACATTTCCCCAAAAAATTCAAAGTTGATAAACAATTTTCGAAACCATATTTCTAGATTCACTTTTACATGTAAATTTCAAATATGACATCACTTTGATTGAATTTTGAATAGTTAATGACGTTCATGTAAATCAAGACTTCTACTCGCATCTAGTCTATTCACCAAACACAACGATTGAATGATAATTTTACAACATACAGGGTGTTCCATATGTTTCAGGAATGATGCTGTATTTTCTTGGTTTTCTTTTCAATCTAGCTGATTTTTTGACCAAATGTGTCCAAATATGTTGTGAATAAGTTGGAGAAATTTCATATCATGAAGCTCAGTAGACTGAATAATATGGTTGCTATAGTAACCTAGGGGTAGGGTAGGTGGAGCAGGTGTAACAACGCGCAAAACATGACATTTTTGTAAAAATAGTAGTTTTTGTATAAAGTGTTCAAAGTATTAATTTGTCATAGTCGCATCAAACTTGTTGGAAATTAAAAAGAATAAAGGTGGATTCCTGGAAATTAAAAATGATATCACACCATTTATTAGCCATCATCATTATTTCAGCATCTATCCCTTCCGCATTAGTTAGCGCTCTCACTGTTCTCGGATGTCCACATTTTGGATAATCGGTCTCAGTTTCCCTTCCAGATTTGAACCGCTTGTACCACTCATACACTCTAGAGGTTACCATCATTGAGTCCCCATGTGCATTCGTCAGGAGTTTAATTGTGACTGCTGCAGGAAACTGTTATTCACACATGTCATGTCTTGTCATAGATTGTTGTGTGTTGCCTAAGTCGAAGGTTTTCCTTTGCTAATGACTTTTTCACTTTTCAAGATGGCCGCTCGTCCAAAATTACCTGTGTTTATTCTCCTTTGTGACTCATGACATGACAGGTGTTAAAATTGTGATGTGATCAAGGGTGATGACATTTTTTTACTTTTTGGAATCCACCTTAATTTTTGTTTAATTACTGACAAGTTTGATCCAACTCTGACAACTTAAAACTTAGTCACATTTCGTACAAAAAAACTATTTTTTACAAATATTTCATATATTTTGCGCGTTGTTACACCTGCTCCACATACCCTACCCCTAGGTTACTATAGCAACCATATAATTAAGACTACTGAACTTCACGATATGAAACTTTGCCAACTTATTCAAAACATGTTTAGACACATTGTGTCAAAAATTCAATAAGATTGAAAAGAAAACCAATAAAACACAGCATCATTCCTGAAACATATGGAACACCCTGTATATAAGGTAAAATAATTCATTTTCCATATTTTCTATTCAGTTATGCTTGACCTGTACATTTTTCTCTCTTTAAGGTCAAGGTGCATGTTCGGAATTTTTCTGCATTCCTCATGTTGAGTCACATGTTATTTTTCAAACAGGAATCACTCCTTCCACACATTGTCTACATCTTCCAGTTTTGCACAAAGAGTGCACTTATGTGCCTAGAAAAGACTGGTGAAAAGATTTGTTTTGTAAAATGTATATAAGAGAAAATAAGCAAAAATTCAGTGAAAACATTTTCTGAAATTTTTCTGAATTTTTTTCACGAAATTCTCTTGATTTTTATACATTTACATTCTTCTTTACACTCTTTTCTAGGTACATATTAGTGCACTCGTTGTGCAAAGGTGAAAGATGTAGACATTTTGGGAAAGGAGTGATTCAGATTTGAAAAATACCATGTGACCCAATTGAGGGTTTATATTGCATCCTGACCTTAATGGATCACATTCGTTAAGCTTGTATTCTCGAATACAACATTTGGCTGTCGGCTACTGGATTAATCCACTTTAAATATGCAGTGGCGTAGCCAGGATTCGGTGACCAGGGGTTCTATGTTTTATGTTATCTACAAATCTCCCCCTTCAGTGGTAGTCCATGGTATGAAATTTCTAGGACGTCTAATTAAGGAGTTGGTGACATGATATACGCGCAGCGATATTTAACCTTATATTTAGATACCTACATATGTCCCGCGTTTTATTTTGATAAATACGTATAAACGGTGGTAATAATACTAATAACTAGACTGTGGAAACAAGTTCAATTTCAGACTCCAGATGACAGATCTTCTGGGGTTTCTAGACAGACAGATGGACGGACGGATGGAAAGACAGACTGGACTGGACTTGGACCTTGAGTGGACTCCGAGCTGGACTTGGACTTAGAGCTGGCCTGGTCTAGACTTGGACCTGGGTTGGACTTGGGCCTAGACTGGACTTTATTTGGACCTGGAGTGGACTTGGACCGGGACTGGACTTGGACCTAGACCTGGACTGGACTTGGACCTGGATTTGGGCCTAGACATTGGACTGGACTTGGACCTGGATTGGACTGGCTTTGGACCTTGACTGGACTTGGACCTTGACTGGATTCAGACATGGAATTGGGCCTGGACTGGACTAAGACTGGCCTTGGACTGGACTTGGGCCTTGACTGGATTGAACCTGGGCTGGTCTTGGACTGGATTTAGACCTGGACTGCGCTTGGACCTGGACTGGCCTTGGAACCGGACTGGACATGGACCTGAACCTGGACTTTGACTGGACGCGGACCTGATCTGGACTTAGACTTGGAACTTGACTTGGACTTGGACCTGAAAATGGACTGCACTGGTATTTTTGTTTCAATATTTCTTC